AGCAACAATAATAAGATGGAATAAAACTAGTAATAAAATAATAGTAATAATGAATACTGTATTGAGCCAGCATTGAGATAAAAAGCAACAAATAAGATGGAATAAAACTAGTAATAAAATAATAGTAATAATGAAGAGTGTATTGAGCCAGCATTGAGATAAAAAGCAACAATAATAAGATGGAATAAAAAAACTAGTAATAAAATAATAGTAATAATGAATAAAACTGTATTAGTAATAATGAATACAGTATTGAGATAAAAAGCAACAATAATAAGATGGAATAAAACTAGTAATAAAATAATAGTAATAATGAATAGTAGATAAAATAATAAGATGGAATAAAATGTAATAAAATAATAGTAATAATGAATATTGAGCCAGCATTGAGATAAAAGCAACAATAATAAGATGGAATAAAACTAGTAATAAAATAATAGTAATAATGAATACTGTATTATTGAGCAACAATAATAAGATGGAATTGAGATAAAAAAAAGTAATAATGAAATAAGCCAGCATTGAGATAAAAAAACTAGTAATAAAACTAGTAATAAAATAATAGTAATAATGAAGAGTGTATTGAGCCAGCATTGAGATAAAAGCAACAATAATAAGATGGAATAAAACTAGTAATAAAATAATAGTAATAATGAATACTGTATTGAGCCAGACATTCAGATAAAAAGCAACAATAATAAGATGGAATAAAACTAGTAATAAAATAATAGTAATAATGAATACTGTATAGAGCCAGCATTGATAAAAAGCAACAATAATAAGATGGAATAAAACTAGTAATAAAATAATAGTAATAATGGAGTGTATAGAGCCAGACTGTTCAGATAAAAAAATAATAAGATGGAATAAAACTAGTAATAAAATAATAGTAATAATGAATACTGTATAGAGCCAGAGTGTTGAGAAAAAAGCAACAATAATAAGATGGAATAAAACTAGTAATAAAATAATAGTAATAATGAATACTGTATAAGAGCCAGACTGTTGAGATAAAAAGCAACAATAATAAGATGGAATAAAACTAGTAATAAAATAATAGTAATAATGAATACTGTATTGAGCCAGCATTGAGATAAAAAAGCAACAATAATAAGATGGAATAAAAAAACTAGTAATAAAATAATAGTAATAATGAATACTGTATAGAGCCAGGTGTTGAGATAAAAAAGCAACAATAATAAGATGGAATAAAACTAGTAATAAAATAATAGTAATAATGAATACTGTATAGAGCCAGAGTGTTGGGATAAAAAGCAACAATAATAAGATGGAATAAAACTAGTAATAAAATAATAGTAATAATGAAGAGTGTATAGAGCCAGCATTGAGATAAAAAGCAACAATAATAAGATGGAATAAAACTAGTAATAAAATAATAGTAATAATGAATACTGTATTGAGCCAGCATTGAGATAAAAAGCAACAATAATAAGATGGAATAAAACTAGTAATAAAATAATAGTAATAATGAATACTGTATTGAGCCAGCATTGAGATAAAAAGCAACAATAATAAGATGGAATAAAACTAGTAATAAAATAATAGTAATAATGAATACTGTATTGAGCCAGCATTGAGATAAAAGCAACAATAATAAGATGGAATAAAACTAGTAATAAAATAATAGTAATAATGAAGACAGATTTGTAAAAAGCAACATAATAAGATGGAGATAAAAAGTAATAAAATAATAGTAACAATAATAAGATGGAATAAAACTAGTAATAAAAAATAATAGTAATAATGAATACTGTATTGAGATAAAAAAGCCATGGAATAAAAACTAGTAATTGAGATAAAAAGTAAGCCAATAATAAGATGGAATGGAAAAACTAGTAATAAAATAATAGTAATAATGAATACTGTATTGAGCCAGCATTGAGATAAAAAGCAACAATAATAAGATGGAATAAAACTAGTAATAAAATAATAGTAATAATGAAGAGTGTATAGAGCCAGATGAGATAAAAAAGCAAAAAATAATAAGATGGAATAAAACTAGTAATAAAATAATAGTAATAATGAAGAGTGTATAGAGCCAGACTGTTCAGATAAAAAGCAACAATAAGATGGAATAAAACTAGTAATAAAATAATAGTAATAATGAATACTGTATTGAGCCAGCATTGAGATAAAAAAGCAACAATAATAAGATGGGAATAAAACTAGTAATAAAATAACTGTTAGATAATAAATGGAATAAAACTGTAATTGAGCCAGCATTGAGATAAAAAGCAACAATAATAAGATGGAATAAAACTAGTAATAAAATAATAGTAATAATGAAGAGTGTATAGAGCCAGACTGTTGAGATAAAAAGCAACAATAAGATGGAATAAAACTAGTAAAAATAATAAAAATGAATACTGTATAGAGCCAGTGTTGGGATAAAAGCAACAATAATAAGATGGAATAAAACTAGTAATAAAATAATAGTAATAATGAAAGACTGTATAGAGCCAGAGTGTTGGGATAAAAAAAAACAATAATAAGATGGAATAAAACTAGTAATAAAATAATAGTAATAATGAATACTGTATGAGCCAGACTGTTGAGATAAAAAGCAACAATAATAAGATGGAATAAAACTAGTAATAAAATAATAGTAATAATGAATACTGTATAGAGCCAGCATTGAGATAAAAAGCAACAATAATAAGATGGAATAAAACTAGTAATAAAATAATAGTAATAATGAATACTGTATAGAGCCAGCATGTGAGATAAAAAAGCAACAATAATAAGATGGAATAAAACTAGCAACAATAATAATAAGATGGAATAAAACTAGTAATAAAAATAATAGTAATAATGAATACTGTATAGAGCCAGAGTGTTGGGATAAAAATAATAATGGAATAAAACTATAAGATGGAATAAAACTAATAATAAAAAATAATAGTAATAATGAATACTGTATTGAGCCAGAGGTTGAGATAAAAAGCAACAATAATAAGATGGAATAAAACTAGTAATAAAATAATAGTAATAATGAATACTGTATAGAGCCAGAGCATTGAGATAAAAAGCAACAATAATAAGATGGAATAAAACTAGTAATAAAATAATAGTAATAATGAAGAGTGTATAGAGCCAGACTGTTGAGATAAAAAGCAACAATAAGATGGAATAAAACTAGTAATAAAATAATAGTAATAATGAATACTGTATTGAGCCAGCATTGAGATAAAAAGCAACAATAATAAGATGGAATAAAACTAGTAATAAAATAATAGTAATAATGAATACTGTATTGAGCCAGCATTGAGATAAAAAAGCAACAATAATAAGATGGAATAAAACTAGTAATAAAATAATAGTAATAATGAAGAGTGTATAGAGCCAGAGTGTTGGGATAAAAAGCAACAATAATAAGATGGAATAAAACTAGTAATAAAATAATAGTAATAATGAATACTGTATTGAGCCAGCATTGAGATAAAAAGCAACAATAATAAGATGGAATAAAACTAGTAATAAAATAATAGTAATAATGAATACTGTATTGAGCCAGCATTGAGATAAAAAGCAACAATAATAAGATGGAATAAAACTAGTAATAAAATAATAGTAATAATGAATACTGTATTGAGCCAGCATTGAGATAAAAAAACAATAATAAGATGGAATAAAACTAGTAATAAAATAATAGTAATAATGAATACTGTATTGAGCCAGCATTGAGATAAAAGCAACAATAATAAGATGGAATAAAACTAGTAATAAAATAATAGTAATAATGAATACTGTATTGAGCCAGCATTGAGATAAAAGCAACAATAATAAGATGGAATAAAACTAGTAATAAAAAATAGTAATAATGAATACTGTATTGAGCCAGACTGTTCAGATAAAAAAAGCAACAATAATAAGATGGAATAAAACTAGTAATAAAATAATAGTAATAATGAATACTGTATAGAGCCAGCATGTTCAGATAAAAAACAACAATAATAAGATGGAATAAAACTAGTAATAAAATAATAGTAATAATGAAGTGTATAGAGCCAGACTGTTGGGATAAAAGCAACAATAATAATAAGATGGAATAAAAACTAGTAATAAAAATAATAGTAATAATGAAGAGTGTATTGAGCCAGACTGTTGAGATAAAAAAGCAACAATAATAAGATGGAATAAAACTAGTAATAAAATAATAGTAATAATTTTTGCTGTTTGATTCTGTTGAGATAAAAGCAAACAATAATAAGATGGAATAAAACTGAAATAAAATAATATGTTTTTTTATTGACTTGATAAAAATGCAACAATAAAAGATTATTTATAAAGATTATTTTCAATGAAACAAATGGAATACTGCAGTGTATTGTGGAAATGATAGTCAAGCGTTCTTCAGAGAGACTGAATTCAATTTAAATTCAAAGATAAGCTAAATTAAAAAAAAAAATGAATCAAGTCTTGGTGATAGCGAATTAATAGTGGAGAGTGTATTCAAAAATTTTAAATTATCATCCTTCTCCTTCTAATAAAACTAGTAATAAAAAAATATTGAATCGCCAACATTGAGATAAATGAAGATATTGTCTGTGATGTTTTAAAGATATCAATGCCTTATCATATCTGCATACTGTACATCAAGAACAGAAAAAAAATACAAGAAAAATACAAGCAGAAAAAGAAAGATTATTTTAGAAAAACAGTTTATAAAAATGAAAGTGAAGAAAACTATACTAATTAAAAAAGAAAAAAAAAAAAAAAAAAACACATTCCAGTTACCAGTAAACTCCATAAATAATTTTCTAAAAATAAGGCGGGACTAAAAAGCCATAGTGAAGAGTGATACAATGAAATCTGATATGGCTGATCATGTATAGAGGGAATTGAGACAATTAAATGTATCTCTTATTGAGCAATTTCAGCAGGGAACAAAATGTGAATAAAAAATATCAAAAATGGGTTTTGGGTGTCCCAGGAAAATTTATGTTTTTTTAGAATTAAGTTTAAAGATTATTTATTTATCAATGAAACAAATGGTGAGTGTAGAGAAAAAGAGTAACAGAGAGAATTGAATTTAAATTCAAAGAAAGAAAGAAAAAAAAGAGAGTCTTGAGATAGCGAATTAAAGAGAGTAACATTTTTAAATTATCATCCTTCTCCTTCTAAAAGAGAAAATAACAAGTTATGAAGATATTGGAGAGAAAGAGATCAATGCCTTATCAATCTGCATAGTGAGAAAAAGAGAAAATACAAGAAAAATACAAGAAAAGAAAGAGAGAAAAACAGGGGAGAAAGTGAAGAAAATGACACAAAGAGAAAAAAAAAAAAAAAAAGAGAGAGACTCCATAAATAATTTTCAAAAGTAAGGGAGGAAAAAGAGAGTGAAGAGAGCAATGAAATCTGAATGGAGAGAGAGAGAGGAATTGAGACAAAAGAGAGAGAGATTTCAGTAGAGAAAAAAGAAGAAAGAGAGAGCAGTAGAGAAAAAAGAGAGAGAGAGAGAGCAGTAGAGAAAAAGAGAGAGAGAGAGCAGTAGAGAAAAAGAGAGAGAGAGAGAGAAAAAGAGAGAGAAAGAGAGAGAGAAAAAGAGAGCAGAGAGAGTAGAGAAAAGAGAGAGAGAGAGCAGTAGAGAGCAAGTGAAAAGAGAGAGAGAGAGAGCAGTAGAGAAAAAGAGAGAGCAGCAGCAGCAGAGAAAAAGTGAGAAAGAGAGGGGGGAAGCAACAGAGAAAGAGAGGGGGGAAGCAACAGAGAAAGAGAGAGAGAGAGGGAAGCAGCAGAGAAAGAGAGAGAGAGAGCAGGAGCAAATAAAAAGAGATAGAAAGAGAGCAAAAGAGAAAAAGTGATCAGAAGAGAACAACAGACAAAAAAGAGAGAGCAGAAGAGAAAAAGAGAAAGAGGGTGCAGCAGAGAAAAAGAGAGAGACTGAAAGAGAGAGAGAGAGAAACAAAAGGATGAATGTGGATGTAGGTTCTTAAATAAGTCCATAGCCTAATGATAAAGAAAGTATTTACACATTGAATATAGAACTTTCAATATTAGCCCCTTCCTTGTCAATGCCCTTAATTCAGTAATGATTATTAATCATGTAAAACTGACATTATATAGCGAACATTCCAGTGGCAATGATTACTCATTTCTGAGTCATATTTCTTTCATCTTTCCGTTGTTTTTTTTACATTTTGTAGTAAGAACACTTGTACTTTGAATCTGAAAGAGAAAGCAACCTTTAGGGTGCATCAGGAAGAAAGTGGGCTTGGAGAATTTGACACCCACAAGACATGTTGAGCAGAAGAGGGGGAAAAAAGTGAGTAACTTACCTAACGAGCTTGTCTAAATGAATGGCAGAACAGGGAGTAAGAGAGTAAGGAGACAAACATTGCTAAGAGCTACTAAGGATAGGAAGTTGTGGAGAGCCATGATCATCTACCTAACAAGTTTAAATGAATGGCAGAATAGAGTTAGAGGGATAGTTAAAAGTCAAATGCTGCTAAGAGCTACATAAGACAGGAAGTTGTGGAGAGCCATGATCAGTCATGTTCTAAAACAATAGTTCTCACCCTTTTTGCCCAATGCACCCTTTTCGCCATATATCAGAATGTCATTCCCCCACCTTTCCAAGACTTTCTGACTCCAAAGTTGAATTCCAAATAATATGGATATATTATTGAAAATTTTGATTCTTTTCCATTATTCGTACATACACATTTACATGGATTATTTTTATAGAGGAGTTTTCCTGATTTAATCGCAATAGAAAATATTGATGGATTTTAAAACTTGAATACATGTACCATAAATTTGTTTTAATTCATAACTGATTATTAAATAAATAAACTGAAGCATCCGTCAATAAAATAAACAAAAGTTCAATAAAATGCCAGGGTCAATTGTAATTCAATAAACAAAAAGGTTCAATAAAAAGTCAGGCTATTTAAATCAATTTTATTTATACAATAAATTAGAAACTTGTGAAAATGTAAGAGATCTTTCCCTCCCACACTGAAACCCAAGAATTCCACCCTGGATAAGAACCCCATCTTCTGAAAGTACAAGGTATATTTATATATAATTTTATAACTGCTTTGCCTTTTAACGTATAGTGTTCTTATTAACTGCTATCCCTTTTATATTTATATACATTACCAAAAAAAATTATTACCAACTATATATGGATCATTTCATCTCAAACCAACCAACAGCCATCTGGAAAATATGGGAAAATTTACAGATGTTCCTTGATCAAATTTACTGAGAAGTTGATTAAATTTTGATTTGGTTTTGTGGTTTATCAAACATTTGCAATTTATTTAAAGCCAGAAAATATTTTCAGATTCTAAGAATTTTATGGGGATAATTACAAGCCTTACTAATTAACCCATAGTGGGGGGAGAAGAGGTGGGCTCATACGTTTTCCAAGGATATTTGTACATAAGTGAATAAAAAGAACCCAACCAGAATTAGAGTTTGTCTCTCTGATTTCCAATTTCCGAGCCAATTCCCATTATACCACCCATACATTCCAGCTTCCAAAGTGGTTACCCATCTCAGTATTGGCCAGGCTTGATGTTGCTTAATTTTGGTGATGGTATGAGAATTGGTGTTTCAACAAAGTATGGCTGTCAGCCTAGAGAAAAAGGTTTGAAGTAAAGGAGAGAGAGAAGTAATAGAAAGAAATATTTGGAGAGGGAGAGAGGGAAGGGGAGGGAGGAAGAGGAGAGGGGGCTTCACATGTACAAAAGAAAAAATTAACAAACAATATTCTTACTAACAAAGCCTCTAATTCTTAAAATAAAAAAAAGTTTTTATACAATTTGTCTTTGGGAATTGTAATTTGAGTAATGGATGCCTGTCATCTGTGAAGAAGGTTCTGCATCATACACCTGACATAATACATATTAAAGGATAAGAAAAACAAGCACAAAACTGGTGATTATATATATATATATATATAAAAATAATGAAATGGACAAAGTCCAACAAGTATTTTAATATATTTTATTGTTATAAGTTATTTACAAAGACACAAATATTTAAGTAAATGCTCTGTTTATAATAAACAGCATTAACAACATTTACCGGCTTGAAATTTCATAGTAATGGTCATGGCAGTCAGACAATTTCTCTGAGCACATCACCCCTTACATCTGGCCACTCAGACTGCAACCCCTTTGATTATTATATGTGGGGTACACTTGAGTGAGAGACCAACAAAACTCCTTGTAACACCAAAATAATAGTTAGAATAAAACTACAACAACCAACCCCCAAACAGAACAAATAGCTTTAATTAAATTCTCAAACCAAAACAAAACTATTAAATAAGTGATATAAACAATTTTTTTTAAATAACGACTTTCCGTAAAATAACCGCCATAATAGACTACCCACAATGCACCACTGACCCGTATATGTATAAATAGCCGAGAAAAATAACAGCACACGTGGCCTGACGATTGCATATAGCATGAAACAGACTGTGACCTCTAAGTGTTGACTTCTATGTTCACTTTTTTATATATATATATATATATATATATATATATAAAAATTCATTTTTCATTTATTAATCAGGCATATTGCTTAAACATTGTTTTTAATTGATATCCATATTTGAGTAGATGCTCTTTTTTTATTTTTTTTCTATTTTATTCAACAGTATATTTATTTATTTCAATCTACTGGCCTGAATATTCTATAAATCTTATTTGAAAAACATGCACTCTCTGGCAGGATTTGATTTGATCTGATGTGGTTTTACCTTTACATCAGGATACAAAACTGAACAGAGATGTATATTTTGAGAATCAGGAAAGCTCATTGTTCAAAAACACTATTTGAGCTTTGCATGATCAGGAAGTTCTTTATGGTCAAGAAGTTAAAGCATATCAGATCTAATGACAGTTTCCCCACTTCAGGCTGGTAGATGGAAATAACAGCCTTCTTATTGCTTTCTTGGCACTGCAATGTACCTATATTTGATCAAGTACTCACCAGTGACAAAGAAGTGGGTCCTAGATGATATACTGTGTGCCAGACATTGGTTGTCACCACAGGATCCTGTAACTCACACAACAAAATCATGCTCTGTATCTGGTGGACTAGTCAACAAGTGGTTCACTACGACCTGCTATCAATGGGTAAAATCAGAACTACAGACCTGTACTTGCAGCAATTCAAATGTGTGAAACAGGCAATGAAGAAGAAGTCAGCATTGGTTAATCACATGGGTTCCTTCATGACAATGTCATGCTTCATGTGTTGTAGATTGTTGAGGGATACCACTTGGCTGGGAGATATTGTGCCATCCACCTAACTCCACAGATCTTTCACCAACATATTACCACCTCGTCCATTCGCTTGACAACTTCATTCATGGGAAATGCTTTGCAAATGAGGCACACTTGTGGCAGGCACTCAGACTTCTTTGCATCCAAAACACCTGATTATTACTACCAGGGTATTGTGCAACTGAAGGCACATTGATAAAAGGTTCTAGATGGCAATGGTGGTTACTTTGAGGACTAAAGGTATGTCAAATTTGATGTATATATTTTTTTTTCTAATAAATAAAAAATGGCAAGGACTTTTTTTGGTTATCTTGTGTGCATATATATATATATATATATATATATATATTGTTATGAGGATGCATCTCTATAATAAGGGATGCCACTGAGTCCTACCTGTTAATACAAAAAAGTTTTCATTCATGAAGTAGTTGTAAAATAGAGAAATTAGAAATAGAATGTTTGGAAGATTCTAGATCATTCTAGTATATTCGAGAAAAATCTAGATGATTCGAGAAACATCAAATTAGGTGTTAGCCCCTATAAAAATGGGAAATTTGGAAAAGGGTTGTCAGTTGATGAAGGGAAATTTCTGCTGTTATCAACTCCAGCTTTTAATTCGAGGACTATTATATCCAGCCGAAAGAATCTCTATAAAAAGTTGCCAACCAACCAAAACCAAAAAGAGAATTTCATGGAACAAATTTGGTAAATAGAATTTTGACTAATTTTCATTGACCAAACTAAAAATTAATATTTATTTACAAATCTTTGTGGATTTCCAAATATAGCACTTAGATTACTTCACTAGCCCTAAAGTGATAAAGATATTTGATTCCCTTTCCTTCTCCCTCGTAACACTTCACCAGTAACTCTGTGTTTTCTGTTTTTGTAGGCCACAATTGTTTATCTTGTATATATTTTATGTTGTGTTTAGTAAATTAAATATTTGTTTGTGATTTAGCTCTGTGTTGTGGCAAATCATTTTTTTTCCTTTGTTACAATTATCTATATATATATATATATATATATATATATATATATATATATATATAAATGAATAAAAAACAGGAAAACAGACACTCTTTTGAGTCTGGATATTGGGTGGGATGAGGTAATCTAATTTGGTTTATGATCTCCCACTTATCATCAGAGATCCCACTGCATTTTTCTGCACATAGTTTTGTTGGCTTTCTTTCATTCTAACCTGAAGAATCCAGAGAGCAGATGCTTTTGGCAAAATGTCGTTTATAAATTTTCCACTTTGTCTCATTATTGTCACACAGACACACATATACAGATATATGTCTCTCTATATATATATATATATATATATATATATATATATATGTTTGAAACGATACAAAAGCGTATTAAGGCATTAAAAACAAGAAATTTTATATTGTAAGCCATGATAAGTTTAAAACAAAACACACACCAGTCGACTGGTTTCGTCCCCTCTCGTCAGAACTGTTAACGGGGAACTAAGATTATGAGGAAAAGAAAAAAGTCTGTCATGGATGACATGAATGAATGGACAGGGAAGGAAGGAAAAAAAAAAAAATTAAAATTATACCAACCAAGCTGCTAGAAGCGCAGAATAGCAAGTCCAAGCAAACAATCTCTTTGTTTGCAAAGAGCAGGTTGCCTGGACCTGATGTAAAGCAACTCCAACACCTTAAGATGGAAAAGTGAGTG